TGCTTGTGTTCCTGCTCTCGCTATCTCTCTCTCTGTCAAATAAATAAATAAAATCTTAAAAAAAAAAAAAAAGAACCATGGGGACCTATTAGGCTCTGTCAATTTCAAATGATTCCTTCTCTCCAAGTAGAAGCTGGGGACAGTCATATATACTCCCATCTCCTCTCCAGAAGAGAGACCTCACTTGAATTCGGGTATCGAAAACTCTCCAGATGATTTCTGGGGAGCAGTGAGCGGCGGTGACATCCTGATGACGATGGCACCTTCAGGAGCGAGAGCTATACCGCACTCAAAGCTCCTCTGCACACACACACACCTCACCTCCCTGAGCTCCAGGCTCCTCATTTTTCTGGGCAGCCATTCACCCACCTTATTTCTTGTAAACACTGCTAACTGCGAGGCCTCGGGGACAGGACTGTTTGGGGCGGTGCTGGCTGGCAGCCTTTGTCGACAGCCTATCCCCAGACCCAAGTGGAGCCCCCTGAGGTCCAATGTGGCCCCGGAGACCAAGACTCCAGGGCAGCATGCTGCAGTGTGGGAGGTGGGACACAGCTCTGACGGGGCATCAAGCACAAAAGGACACTCACATTATGTCTCTCTCCCAACAGGAGGTGAATCCGCAGACCCCCAGCACCCACAACTCCCCCTGAGGCAACGAGTGGCCTAAGAACCCCCCCAACCTTGTACAACACGTGGGTTGGGTTAGTTTGTTTCCTCGAAGGGTTAGTTTTCTCATTATATGGGAAGCCGAAATACACCACAGAGATGTATGCCTTTGTTAATAAAAGCAAGATAGAAAAAGACATTCTCACACTTAACGTGAAACTCTGGGGCTGTCTTCTTTGAGGCCATTGCCACCTCCCCCGATGCCGCATTTTCAAAATCAATGTCAAATAGCACCTGCCTCCGCGGAAGGACAGAATCACCTAGAAAACACTGCTTCCTCGAACGCTCGGCTCTTTAAGAAAGAGTCAAGCACCGGGGCAACTGTCCGGTTCCCAGAGTTGTCCACCTTTCTCAGATTCCCTGGGCATTTATTTCCCAGGAAAAGCCTCGGCTCCTGGCCACACACCTTCTGGGGGCTCGCTCCTCCAGATTTCCATCTTCTTTACTCCCAGAGTCCTGCCTTGCCCACTCCTTTTTATAAACCAATCCAAATGTTTAAGATGCCTCTGGGGCAAAAATGAAAAACAAATGTGTCCGTTCCGTTTACTCCTGGAATGGACAGAGGTGCTCCTTCTCAGCAGATGGAAAGGCCCCGAGGGGAAGAGAGGTACCTCCAAAATAAATCACCCTCCCCGGACTGCAGCCTCCGAGCCCCCTCGCTCCTGCCTGCCCGCGTCCCTTCCAACAGCCGCCTGCGTGGGCAGGGGCTCCCCAGCCCAGGGCCGTGTCCTTTCTCAGAATGGCCAACAGTCGCCCAGAGCCGGCAGCTTACCTTCATGCTTATAGGTCATCTCCTGGCAGCCGGAAAAGTACAGACACACCAGGGCACAGAGACAGAGAAAGAAGGAGAAGTACAGCACAAAGAGGATGTACTCCATCGCGGGGCTCAGAGGCAGAGCCCACTAGCCCGCGTGCGCCCGGTGAGCCCAGAGCAGCCTCTCTGGCACCTGCTCCCAGGCCTCTCCAGCGCTAGGGGGAAGCACCGCTTCTCCCCTGGAACATTCTCCTCCCCTCCACCACGCCCAGCCCACTGTGTCTGAGGCTTCCTGCCGACTCCCGTGCCTGCAGCTCTGTGATCAGCCTCCGGCGGCCAGCTCCAGGGCAGATCCAGGGGCTGAGAGCAGCCGGTTTCCAAGATCTGGGCTGGCACCGTCGGCACCCAGGACAGCTTCCGCGCTGGTGCATTCTCTGGGGGCCGCCCTCCTGGCACTGCCCTGCCACAGGCCCTGGGTCCCTGGGCAAGCGCAAGGCCCCTGGGAACAGCGCTAGCAACGGTGACGTGGGGAGAGCTTTCTTCAGGCCCAGAGCCTCCTGCGCTTGGGCAAGTTCTCTGTCTGTCCCCCGAGCACCCCACACGCAACCCGGACTAGCTAAACTCATGGGCTTCTCAGCAGTCCTATTTTATTTATACAGACTGAGCAAACCAGGATCCACACCTGGGGCGCCCATGGGAGCCTGCATTTCTTGGAGAAGCTTCTCTCAGCAGAACAGCAAAAGTAAGATCCCGCACATTGGAAAAAATAGATCGATAATACCATTAAAAAGGAAACTGCTATACTTGGAAAGATATTCATGCCATATTAAAAGGCAAAGGACCATCACAAAAAGAAAAATATAGACAATCAGGTTCATATGTATATTTCAATTGTAATAATGCTTGATACTCTGCTCCTCCCAAAGTATCCATGATATGAGCTATGTAACCACATCATAGCCTTTCACTCATGTTTCCAAATAAGCTCCCCCCCTCCACCCAGGCAGAGTTGGGACTAGCTCAGGAATGAGCCTGTAACCAACCTGAGCCAAGGAGCACCAGCCCTGGGACTTTTGCTGGAGCCACTGAGGAGAGATGCCCTCCCGCCACAGAAGTTGCTAGGCAGGAGTAACGCCAGCTTACAGCTGCTGAAGCCAATCAGGGCACCACATGGGGAGAGCCCGCCTGAGAAAGAGGCCAGCCCATGCAGAAAGCAGAGTAGAAAGGGAGAGAGACAGGTTCCGGGCAATATTGTGTAAGCATCTGGATCCAGCTGTGCCTGCAACCAGCTATCTCTGGACTTCTCAGCTATATAAATTCTTTTCCTTTCTTAAATGACTTTTAGTTTTTGACACTCACAGTTAAGAGAATCTTGGCTAATGGGAGAGGGGGAGATAATCCCAGAAATTATGCTATCTGCAAGCTGAGTTTGCTCAGAGGCTGGCTGGTGACAGAGCTGTGGGGAAGGACAGCCCAGGAACGAAGTCGAGTGGAAACAACCCTACAGGGAAAATAAGATTCCTTTAGCCACTTAGAAATGGAAAGCATGGCACATGATGACAAATGCCCAGGAGCCCCAGCCACGGAAGGTGGTGTGCTCTGTCTTCTGTTCCAAAGCAACTGCCACCACAGAGCTGCAGGCTTGGCCTTGGGGGACACAAGGTCAAGTGTGGATAGGCCCCAAGCGTCTGATGAGAATGGATGCAGGAGCCCCTGCAGGGTGCAGGAGGACCATGAGTGACCTGCCAGAAGGGATCCGCCCAGGCATCAGCTGCTTCCTGGTGACAGCAGCTCCAGGGGCCATTCGGGGACGAGGGGCCCCCGGCACTGACACTTGGGCCCCGGGAAGGGCGGTTCTTCCCACGGCACTCTGATGTTTCTCAGCGATCTTCCCGGCCTCTCACAAATGATGGCTAGCTACTGTCTAAAGGGCATCGAGAGCTCACCTCGCTGTTACCTGTGACGGCCTCTCTTTTGAAAAAGGTGACACGAATGAGAACCAGGGAAATGAAGAGCAGGGCCTGGGAATCTGCATTCAACAGATCCGCCAAAGGAAAGCTACTGATGTAAGGGGAAGGGAGAAGGAAAAATCATAATTTATGGATCCCTGACTACATGCCAGACACAGAGCCAGATGCTCTGTTTGGTCTCCTGGATGGGACAATCATGGTGAGAGCCAGGAAACAGGCTCCCCGAGGTCAATGCCACATGGCCTGGAGCCAGACCTGACTCTCACGTGGCTGCCAGGCTACAGGGTCTCAGCCTCTCCCCAGATCCCAGCCCCACTTTAACCAAGGCGCGTGAGCCAACCGTGATGACTTTAGCCGTGCTCATGCACTCGGCTCTCTACTGAGACACGACTCCATGTTGCCGGATGGCAAGTTTTCCGAAAGCAAACCCGCCACCCACCCCAAGGCAGAGGCTCTGTTTAGGTTCATCCGTGATCCTGGTCCTTCTGCAGAGCGAGCCCGCCCTCCCCACACGGGGCCTGGGGAACCACTCAGGGTTCTCCTGCTACTCCCTGTGGAGGGCTGAACGAGCAGCGTGCTGGGGCAGAGACGCCCGCACCAGTCCTGTCCCCGGGAGCACAGTGAGACAGGGTCAGCGGCCCTCAGGGTGTGACGGTCTCCCTGGGATGAGGACATCACAGCCCTGCCATCCCTGCAAATGTAGCAGATTGGGGTGTGGGCGTGGAGCTGGAGAAGCCCCTCCAGGGGAAATGCAGAGTCCAGGGACTTCCAGAAAATTCTGGCACAAAAAATTGGGCCAAACAGAGGCCCGGGCAAAGTGTGGTAAAGCCCACGGATGCGCAACGGACAGAGCTCGAGGGAGGCATTGAAGGGGAGAAAGAAACTACTGAATCCCAGCAGCCTCTGGAAGGGAAGAGAGGAAAGCCACCCAGGCCCAAGAGATAACCCTGGGGGGTTCAAAACCTGCTCAGGTCCCCATCTGGCCCCGGATAGTGCCAGGAGAAAGTACGAACATGTGGGGGAAACTGCTCTACCCTGAATCTTGAGAAAAAGAAAAGAGGCTGTGGGTCATAGAAACAGTAAGTGGAAACGATCCTGAACCAGCTCAGAAAAATTCCCACGGAGACTCCCAAACTCCGCCTTCTAATGTCATTGAACTATTTCAATTAGGGACCGAACATCCCCATCCTTTGAGATGGTCCAGTGTCATGCCAACGCACTTTACCTGTAAAAGCAATTTGCTTATTCAATCAACAGCTACACAGGGACACCTACTCTGTGCTGAGACAGTGAGCGGGGCGTGGTGAGCGGGACACAGCCACCACTCTCCTCACCTGTGTCCATGCAAGCCCAGCAAACCCCAAGTCCGTTCTAGGCCTTTGTAAAGTTCTCATCCCACGAGCACATTCAGAAATGGGAAAAGGGAAAACAGAATCCTTCCTTACTCTGCGAATTCTGATATAGGCTTGAAAAACGGAGTCAGGGCTCAACAGTGGGTCTCCCGAAAACCCTCCTTGGAAGCTTCATGGGTGTATAATGCTGCAGTATGTCCGGTTCCTCAGTCAAGCCGGAGGCCTTTCGACTGTTGCTTTTTCAACATGCCCCGTGATGCCCATGGCCTTCATGCACGTTAATGGCAGCCATGCAAAATGATGCGTCTCTTCCGTACAGCACAGGGGGTCCCGCGTTCTCCACCAAAGCCTTCACACCCTGTGATCCATAGCCCACCTTCTGGGAATCTACCCATGGGGACAGTCCAGACCCTGGACACAGCTTCCTGGACAAAGGGAGGCCACTGCGGTGGCATTTGCAGAAGCAGAATGTCCAGTCACTTCATGGAACGGGCAGCACTCAGGGACAAGAGGAGACCTGGCCCAGAACAAGCTGTCTACGTAGGCATAAACACACTCACTCACTCACTGCAACAGCACTGAGAGCTGCCAGGAGCTGAAAGCTAACGTGCCCAGCCCGGAATGGTGAACACATTTATGGCCCATCTACTCAACGGATTATGTAGCCATAAAAATTTCTATTTATGATGACGGAGTCATAACATGGATACGTGCTTCGTAGTACAATGTTAAGGGGGAAAAAAAAAAACACCAGAAAGCAAAGTGGATTCTACAGTTATAGTTACGTTATTAAGAAAAAGAGGGGAGAGAACAAAGGCTTGGGGGGGGTGTTGGGGGGGGTTTGCCTTAAAATGCCCTTCGTCCACCTTGACTTGGTGGTGCAAGCTTGGCCTTTGGAGCCCAGACTTGAGTTTGAACCCCTGCCTTGTCAATCCACTTTGTCTCTTTGAGCTATTTCTATGTTGTGTACCCGCATGCTTCCCGTAGCCGTCAAATGGGAAAAACAACGCTGACCTCACGGGGTTGCCGAGAGGATGAAATGGGGCGGTGTATGCACCACCACTTAGCCAAGTGGCCAAGTTCGGCCCACAGATAGATTTTATTTGGACCACAGATTTTGCCAACATTTAAAATCCTCAGATTTTATATAAAATAAGGTGCTTTAGGGTGAATTGGGTCCCCCCAAGAAAGACATGTTGAAGCCCTATCCCCAGTACTCCATTAACATGAGGTCATAGCAGAGCAGGGCGGGCCCCTGATCCCATACGACTGGTGTCCTTATAAGAAGACAGCCATGGGACGGACGCACAGGGAGGACGGCCTCTGACCGCAAGAGCAGAGGGTGGGGTCATGCAGCTGCAAGACCAGGAATGTTAGAGTGCCGGGAAATCACCAGAAGCTAAAAGAGCCCAGGAAGGATTCCCCTATGGGTCTCAGAGGGGGCTCAACCCTGCCGACACCTTGACCTTGGACCTCCAGACTCCAAAACTATGAGACAATATGTTTGCATTGTTCTCGCCGCCCCCCTCCCCCTGCCGGGATGGGGTACTTTGTTACAGCCACCCCAGGAAACTAATGCAGAAGGGTCCCCACTTCCCTCAAACCCCTGGAATGTGTGACACCTGCTGCTGGGGGCTTGGTTCACCGCAGGCCCCAGCGCTCCCTACTGCCACTCCGATATGAAAGCCTCAACATTGGTGGCTATGCATAGCACATCAGCACCGCTGTTTTCTTGAGAGAAGAGAAAAGTTTCAGGACCATATCTCTATCCAAAGACAAACCAGGAGGGACATCCAGTTCAACAGAAGGGAGAGCAGACCCACGTCTTCGTGGCAGTGAAAAAAATGTTCACAGGTTTAAATGCAAACCAAGTCTTTTTTTTTTTTTTTTTTTTTTTTACACCTGCCCCAATTTACTCTTTTCATTCCAGCCCAGTCCCTGCGGCGTCTGAATGTTCCCGGCCAGCAGTGCTCTCTGCCAGGACATTTGGGCACTGTCTTTATAAGACCACATTTTCCAAAGAGAACGGTTCTGCGTTATTCCAGAAAAATCCCAAAGCTCCTGACTTTGTCAGAACAGGATATAAGATGTTATAAACCAAGCCTGAGCGCCCTTTAAATCCTTCAAAATGTCTAAGTATTTATGCTTTTAATTTTGGGTGAGCAGCGCCTGAGGCCCACATACAGAATCCATCGGTAAGTTTTCCATGAATAAATTACAATCGCTGGCCCATGGCCATAACTGATGACGCTTTGAGAGACGCCGTAACGGCTTTCTCCCCATCAGACATGCGGAGACATGAGTGTCTCTGCCTCGAGGACCCCCTATGGATTGCTCACATTTCCCTGCTCCTGGACCATCCGCGCTGCAGCCTGGGCGGGGCCACAAAGCGGGACAGATGCACCACTGCGGGCTTACCTTGGGGGGCTTCAGACTTTTCCCGCGATGTCTTTTGGAGCGCAGGAGCCGTTCCCTCTCCTAGAAGGAGACACACCTGTTGGCATTTGCAGCCAGCTCACATCACACCAGCCAACCCACCGGCCCTCACCCCGTGCCTGCCTGTCCGCACTGGGCGTGGGTCAGTCCAAGTTCTGAGCACCGGCGTGATGGCTGCTTCCCAGAACTGCAAACTATGGGGCCACCCGGTTTACTCAAGTCCTTAACAAGACTGGGACTGTCTTGAGAAAAATCCCCAAATATGCCAATCCTGAAAGCCCCAGCCTGTGTGCTTTGGGGGCTGGAAGCTGTAAAGCCCTGGGCAGTGTGGACTAGTGAGGTCTGCAGCCCAGGATGAAATAGCTTGTGGCTGAGTTCAGACTGAGCTGGGACCAAATCCCCAGGGACCTCCTCCGGACCAGGTGATGCACTTTATTCCTCTGACTTCAGGTTCTTCCTTTGCTCTACGGGGCTAGAACCCACAATGCAGTGTGGAGGCTGTGGCCACCTGGTGGCCGCCGTCAGGAAGAATGGTGTCTGCAGAGCAGTAGAAGGTGTGCAGCCTTCTATCCCAGGCAAAACCAGGACATCTCTCCCTCCTAACCAAGCCCTGCTTTCCCCCTTGGCTGCCAAGAAACCCAGAGACAAATCTGGTGCTTGGTTCCAGCCCCTATGGTCCACCTACTTGTCCCTCCTCATCTCAGTGGATGTGACTATCTGTATTTCCTCTAGTCTCTGGTTTATTATTCCTTTTTCAACTGTATCATCATTTTATTGAAGGTGTGTTTATCTTATGCTGTATCAAGTCTGTGTAATGAAGACAGATGAGAGGATGGGTGGACAGATGGAAGGAAGAGGGATGGAAGAAAGGAGGGGAGGGTGGGAAGGTGGATAGATGGATGGATGGATGGATGGATGGATGGAAGAAAAGAGGGAAGAAAGGAGGGGAGGATGGGAAGGCAGGTAGATGGATGGAAAGAAGAAGAGATGGAAGGAGGATGGGAAATGGGAGTATGGATGGATGAGAAGAAGGCTGGAGGGATAGAATGGATTAGTGGGTGGAAGGAAGGAGAGAAGGAGTTAAAGAGAGAGGAAGATAAGCCAGCAATGTGACCTGGACAATTATGGTCAAAGCTTCTTCTAGAATTTTCATCACTGGTTTGTCTACACTTTGAAGACCCATGAATGGAACCACCACATTCCCTCTTGGGCAATAAGAACACGCTTTGCTTCTAAGATCCAACTGAAGCTTAATACAAATGCTCCCTTATGATGCCTAAGCTCCTTTCACAGTCAGCTGGAGAATCCTCTGGATATAACACTCTACCTACTAAGACATACTCATCTCCCCTTAATCTTACACACACAGAGTCTTAGTAAGCCCTTCAAATTCTAGTCTGATTATAAGGTTCAGGCTTTCAAGTTCATGGTCTGCGACAACTGAGCTAAAAGAAAAAAAAAAAAAAAAGACTTCTCAGGGACAAATCGTGCCCACTCTGTAGAGGCCAGAAGACTCATTCTCAAAACTGATGCTTCCTCTTAACGACAGCAAATCAGGGAGAAGATTTGAGAAAAAGAGTAGCCATGGAAACGGCTCCCAGTTTATACAAAGTCCGAGGCTGCTTTCGGGCCGAATAAAGCAGGGAGGTGCCCGGGATGAGCTCCGTGAGGCCCCGCCTGCTTTAGCAGCTGCGCCCTGGAGCCTCCACGCCATTCCTGACATCGTGTCCCTTGGCGCCACACCAAGCACAGACATACCAGTGAGAGGTCGTCGATGACATGCTGCTGCTCCAGCACCTGCAGCCGCAGGAACTCGATCTCCTGCTCGTCCCTGGTCAGGCTGAGGTCATTCAAGGAAGTGTGTCGCTTCAGAGACGCCTGGGCAGACAGCTTTTCTTTCTGCAGCCAGAGGGAGAGAGGAAGGATGACGGCCAGCCGGTCCCCAGGCTGGAGGAAGCGACAGATACAGACCAGAAGCCAGCATGGGGCCCGGCCAGCAGGGTCCACTGCTGAGAGAAAGGGCTGGGCAGGCACGGGGGTGGGAGGTGGTCACCCAAACCGGGCCCTGGAAGCTGGACGAGGAAGCTGGGGAGGCAAGCCCACCACCAGTGATCACACACCCTCACTCCTGGGCCTGCTGGGGACACCGGGAAGAGGGCCTTGCACCCCACAGAGCCTCAGTCTCGTTGCTGTAAATGGGGTGACTCACCCTACCTTGGACAATGAACCTCAGACTCTTGCACAGACCATCACAGACCAGAACCGCCCTGACCACAAAGACGAGCCACTCTTGTCGGAGAGAATGCAAATTCCTTATGCAGAGAAAGCCCTCGGAGCAGAAATGGCCACAGCTTTTCACCTAGTAAGCGTGCACTAGAACCAGGTACGCTGGGAGGCCTTGCCCTGCCACCACTCCATCCTCCAGACAACCCTCGATGCTGGTATTGCCATCCCCACTTTCTGGATGAAGGCACTGAGGGGCAGAAGGAATGAGGGGTGCATCTAAGGCCACGGGGGTGGCAGGCAACAGAACACAAGCCCGGCCCAGCTGCGGGGCACTGAGGGCCCAGAGAAGTGGGAGCAGGGGGGATGGGCGCGGACTGAGACCCTCATGAGCTTCCTGGGGGAGGCAGGGGCCGCGGGGAGAACATGGACTGTGAGGGTCAGGGCTGGAGAATCCCAGACGGAGACCAAAACTCGGGGCTGGTGGTCCCAGGTAGCCAATGACTCACCATTTCCACATTTTCCCTTGTGAGGTTCTTGATTTTCTCCTCCATCCTCTGGATGCTCTGTAGCAAATCCTCATTCTTCTTGTTCATTCGCTTGTTCTTCTCCACAAGGGGCTTCAGCTGGACCTCGGTCTCCCGGGAACGTTTCAGCTACGATCAGAAAGACACAGAAGGCCGGTGGCTTTAACACCCAGTGAACTGCTGACGTCACACCATGGAGGCCGGCAGGGATCCAGCCTGGGCCTTCCTTGGGACTGGAGCTGCCACTGTTAGGACCACATTTCCTGAATGGCACAAACCTCCAAAAAGATCCCACAGACACCTGGCTTCCAAACACAATGTCCTATGTGAGGCTCAGAGGGCCCTGGTTAAGGCAAGAGAAGGAGGCTGCAGCCCAACAGGGAGGCTCACAGATCTGCCTCAGGGCCCCCTGTCCACTAGTCTGCACTTCCTCCACCTCTGGGCATAACCCCCAGGGGTCAGGAGTCACAGGCATAAAAGTCAATCCAGTGACCTAGCCGCTCTTGGCCACCATTCTCCCCCAAAGTGCAGACCTAGCAGAAAGCTCTGCCTTCTTCGGGCAACAGGGAAGGCCTGGGCACCACTCATTGCCAGACTCCGTGCTGGGGATACAAAGATAAGTAGGGTGGGCATTAGCCCTGGAGGCGCCCCCCGAGTCTTGACAACCGGCAGGGTATCCTTCCAGTCTCTCTTGTCTGATTGGCATTGGGGGAGCCCCTCTTGGGGCTGGGGCTGGGTCAAAGGATGGCACAACAGGGTATCCTCCCAGCGGATGGAAGAGGAGGGCAAAGTCAGTAAAGGAGGAATGAACGTGGTGAGACAAGAACACAGCTCGCTCAGTGCAGAGGAAACACAGGATGTGGGGTGATGCTCAGAGGAAGCGTGGGCACAGCGAGGCCTGGTTGAGGGATCTGGAGAGCTCTGTCACTTAGTTTCTACCCCTGGACCTTGAGGGCTTCGAAGAACGAGCCCTCTGTGGTCAGGTCTGCCTTCTAGAACAAACTGTGGTAAGCCTCGCCGGGCTTATTCAACCCTCCCCACAACCCGAGGACGGGGTCCCATCCCCATCTCCCAGACAGAGAACCCGACTGCAAAGAGCCGGGGCGCTGTGCTCCTAGCCACACAGAAAGTCCTGGAACCGAGAATCAAGCTCATGGACTGACCGCAGATCCCTGATTTGGGGGACCAAGCTGTCAAGGAAGATAAAAAAGTTGGAGAAGCATCCATTCATATATAAAATGGACCTTTGATCCATGGGTTCTTCTTCTGGAAATGTACTCCATGCAAAGGAACCTGATCAGCCTAGAGATCCGCCAGTAAAGGACTGAGTGAATGACCCATGGTAGGTCCGCATCGTGGAGTGTGGGCTGCTGAGCAGACAGCATCAGTCAGCATGTCCTGCTGGGCAGGGCTGTAACCCACAAAGCAAGTTGCAGAACAATAATACAGAGGGGAAATAGCCCATTCATAACTGTAAAACAACAACAGAAAGTCCCTTAGGGTGTCGATATGTTTACACGAGCATTAAAACCATGTAAGAACCACCTCAAAGAGCTAAGGGTAGTTATTTCATGATTTTAAGATCAAAGTGCTGGCTAGCTGGTCGATTTCTGCTTTAAACACTTCAGGGTGCTCCGAATTGTTTCAAGCAAGCTACATTTGTTTCTAATCTTCTTAGTAAACTATACTGTAGCCCACGAGGGACTTTTTTTTTAGTTCATGAATATTTACGTGGAAAGCGTACATCTAATATTAGACATATGGTCTGATTAAAGCCATTTAAAAATATGCCTTTAAAAATACTTGAAGGAAATGAATTAATCTTGATCCTGTTACAATTGTGAAAAGGTTGGGGCGCCTGGGTGGCTCAGTTGGTTAAGTGTCTGTCTGCCTTTGGCTCAGGTCATGATCTCAGGGTCCTGGGATCGAGCCCCACATTAGGCTCCCTGCTCAGTTGGGAGTCTGCTTCTCCTTCTCCCTCTGTTCCCCCTGCTTGTGTGCACTCTCTCTCTCTCTCTCTCTGACAAATAAATAAATAAAATCTTCAAAAAAATTTTTTTTTAATTTTTTAAAAATTGCGAAAAGGTAACATTCATTAACACTGTTCATCTCCCGTGTTCTTCAGATATGATATAGATGGACTTATTTTCATAATAAAATTTAGAATCAACAGGAATATGATGAGGTGTTTGTCAAGAAGTTTATGTACCAACTCCCACTTCATAAAAATTCATTTGGCTGTTTATCCAGCAAATTTATGTGTATTCAATAAACTGCTCTTTTTACTACAGATTTATATTTTTATTTTTATTTTTTTTAAAGATTTTTTTATTTATTTATTTGAGACAGAGAGAATGAGAGAGAGAGAGCACATGAGAGGGGGGAGGGTCAGAGGCAGAAGCAGGCTCCCTGCTGAGCAGGGAGCCCGATGCGGGACTCGATCCAGGGACTCCAGGATCATGACCTGAGCCGAAGGCAGTCGCTTAACCAACTGAGCCACCCAGGCGCCCCAGATTTATATTTTTAACCCAAAGTCCCGTTCATTATTTTAAAATTAGAAATCCGTGAACTTTTATGCAAAAAATAAACGTGATCCATAATCACACCACCTAAAACAACATCCAATATCCAGCACGATGACAATGGATTTTTGTTCTGTAAACTGCTTATCATTTAATCTACCGCGAGCCCATTTCCACGGCAAATAAATAGGATCTGTATCACCATTCTTAATGATGGGACACAATGCATTGCATAAATGGTCCGTAATGATGTTTCCCAGTACTTGAGTATTGAACAATTGGGCTTTTGTTTCGTTTCGGGTCGGTTTTGGTCGCTAGCATAAACAACACTGTAGTGAACATCCTGTCCACACCCCTCACGTCTCCCTCCGACTGTTTGCTCAGGATAAATTCCTGTAGAAACAAAGGGCAGTCACAGCTTTCTTCACTGAGCACACGCTAGATTTTTAATCAGAGATTAATGAGAAAGAAAGTAAAGAAAACCAGAAGGTCTCCACACTGTGTGTTCAAGGCAGGCTTTGCGGCCCCAGGGCCGTTTCCTCATGCACTACAAGGGCACCATCTGTGTCTCAGGGGCCTGATTACCAGTTCGTTCCTCTCGTCTGCCAGTAGGGTATTTCTGTCCTCCAGCTTCCGTATCACCGAGTTCAGCTCGGCAATTTTTAGCTGGAATCGCCGCACGTCTCGCTCATCCATATGTTGATCCTAAGAAAAACGTCAAGATACAAATGTACTTTGAAGAAGCTTACAGGACTCCAAGCACTCTCAGAAAACCCATGGGATGTGACCGAGAGCTCCTTGTTGGGAGGCCCAAAGCCAGGTGGGGCTCCCTGAAGTTGAGCCACACAGACCGGCACCCCACGTCCCAACAGGGACTCACGGGAAGACTTCATCTCCAAGTGACAAGACCACGAAGACCTCCAATGGCTCCCGAACAGCCAAATGTGATCTCTGGGGACCTTCACGTCTGAGCCCCCATCCGCTGTGCCTCTCTTACAAAGGCCCATCATGGCCACGCTAGGACATTCCTCAAGACCCACTGGGCCAATCTTGCTGACCACTGAAATGCCAGCACCTCATATGGGATCTGCACAGAGCATGCATGACAGACATTCAAACATGTGGTGATTGAATGAGTGAGTGAATGAATGAATGAGTGAATGAGTGAGTGCGTGCTGCTTCAGCCTCCTCTGTGCACATTAAGCACCAAGCTGTTGCCCCCAAAGCCCTTTCCTGCTGGCTAAGCCCCTACCCATCTTGCAGGACTCCGACTTCAAGACTGGGCCCCCTTCCTATGCTCCTATCGCACATGCACACAGATGTCTTCATTTCCTTCTTGTCCACTGAGCTCAGGACGGCTGGAGGCACAAGCAGCTGGATGCTCACCTCTATATCCCCAGGCCTGGGCCTGGCACATCATGAATGTCAGCTCGTTTAGGGAGGAAGGGAGGGCAGGACAGATGGACGGATGGAAGGGAGGAAGGGCGTGAGGAGGCAGGCAGGCAAGGTAACCAGAAGCATGACCCATAGAAAGAAGGACAGGACCCAGTGCTTGCACCTGCCGCCGTCCCCCTCACCTGGATGCCCATGAGCTCTGCCATGTCCCCTATCCCAGGCGGGAGCTCTCTCTTTGGGCTACTGTGGTACCGTTCTGCCTCTTTGACCTGAACCAACTGCTCATCCAAAGCCTCCTTCTGAAGAAGCAGCTTCTGGGTCTGACCCGTCTGAACCCCCAGTTCCTTCTCCAAGGCCAGAATCACACGGTCCTTCCCTCTGATCTCATCCATCTGCAAAAGAGAAAGAATAAGCCATCAATCTAGGAACTCGCACAGGGAAATCTCTCCCTCGTTGGCCTGAGGCCCAGGAAACTGTTAAGCAGGACCATGGACCTGGGTCAGCTGAACTCAGAAAACTCAGGACATAGAGAGACCACAGCCCATGGCCCAGGCCCTGCTCCCCTGAGCACAGAGGAGCAGAGAAGTTATGGGTTCAGTGATCTATATGGCCAACTGGACACTTACCGGTGAAAGATATCTATGATCATGTCTCTCCCATCTTAATGAAAGAAAATAAAATCCTGACCCCCCCCCAGCCCCCTCCAGCCACCTCACCCCCCGTAGCTCAGCTTCTTCACAGAGTTGGTGGGTCTCATCTCCCACTCACTCCCCAAGCCTCTCCTGTCTGGTCACAGCCCCCACCCCCCCACCAAAATAGCTCCTGCTAAGGTCTTCAATGCTCCCCTGGCCCCCCAGTCCCACAGGACAACTTTCTGTCCTCCACCCTTCTCACCAGCATCTGGCCCATGAACCTCTCCCCCCACTCCAGCCCTCTGCCATGAGAGCTTGGTTTCTATCTTTACAGACCCACCTTGCTCTGGCCGCCATCAGAGTCTGCAGTTTCCAAGGCCTGGCCCTCTCCCCAGTCTGCACCCTTTCCCCAGGCAGCCACATCCTCACTCACGATATTAACTCCCCCCATCTGCTGCTGACACCCCAACGTATTCCCCAGGCCCTGACTTCTTGCGGAGCACCAGATTCATAGAACCAACTGGTTACTTGACATCTATGCTGGGGTCTCTAAAGGACCTCAGCCTCTCCACACGCGAACCTTCATGTAAGCCCCAGTTCGCCCAGCCTGCTCTTGTCCCGCATTCTCCAGAGGACACCAAGCAGAAAGAAGCTTACAGAAGAGAAAGCTTTGGCCCCGGGCCATAGACTTGCACTGATTCCAGACACAAAGCCAACAGCTGGGAACCTGCCCCAGTAAGGGTGCTGTGCTAGGGTTTGCACCCCCCAAATCCATGTCCTTCCTAGAACCTGAGAACATGATGTCATTTGGGAAAGGACAGTTGCAGATAGAATCAGTTAGGAGAAGGTCACCCTGGAGCAGGTGGGCCCTAATGACTGTGTCCTTAGAAGAGAGGAAGAGACACACAGACACACAGGGAGAAGGCTGGGTGGAGACAGAGGGCAGAGGCCGCAGGGATGGACGCAGGAGCCCGGGAACGTCATGGACTATCTGCAGCCCCAGTAACCAGAAGCAGCAAGCCCGGCTCCTCCCCGCGCCTTCAGAGAGCACAGCCCTGTGTCACCGGGATCTCAGACCTCCTGCCTCCAAAACTGCAAGCCAATACATTCCTGTTGCCTCAGCCACCCAGTCTGTGGCCCCTTCATTACAGTAGTCCCGGGAAACTGAGGCAGGCTTTAACAGGGAGAGGTTCCCAAGCACTGGGGTTTCATTCATTGACAAAAGCCACAAGAGTTTCGGCTACAGGGATGACTCTATCGTCGTGGGATTTAGGAATAAATGCTACTTGACCTAAGGCACACAAAAAGTTCTGAAAAGAACACCAATGCTTTAATAAGGCCGATTTTGATGGAATCCCCTCTGGATAAAGTCTGCAGGATATGCTATCTGTGGTGCTATTTAATGCGTATCTGGGGGGTCCCCCCATGCACGGAAGGATGGAAGCAATGCAATACTCTAGTGCTTTGATCACCCAGCCTATAAGTTACAGCCAGATGAGATCGACAACTTGGCACAGTGGAAAAAGCAAGCACAGTGTCCAGGGCAAGAAGTTAGGGACCGGGCACTAAGCTCCCGTTGGCAAGCTGTGTGACCTCAGCCAAGCCACATAACCTCTCTACACCTCAGCTTCTGCACATAGAAAAGGGGTCATAGGAATATCCACTCAAAAGGGGAGCAGAGACAAGCAGGCTGGTGGGGAACTGGGCCACTGGGCCTTGACCCCACCACTTCCCGGCCCCATCGCCTGGGTCATGTTCCCTGATTTCCTCCTGTGCCTCAGTGTTCTCATCTGTGAAATGGGGATAAGAACAACACATAACTACTAGGGATGTTTTGAGAATTAAATGTGTTAACACATGGAAAGCGGCCGGCATGGAACAGGCATTCCATAGACGCTAGCTCTGATGAGAGTTGTCCAATGGCACATAGTAGGTCTCCACAAACAGTAGCACCTGTTCTTCCTAGACTTTGTCTCCTTTACGTACTTAGATATTGAGGAAATGAATGAATACTGTAGATGTTTGAATTGTGGTCCCTAAAAAGACATGCCCACATCCTCACTTCAGACTCCTGTGAATGTGACCTCATTTGGGAAAAGGGTCTTTGCAGATGTCATTAAGTTAAAGACAGTAAAATGAGGAGATCGTCCTGGATTAACTGGGTAGGTCCTAAATCCACTGATGAGTGCCATTGTAAGAAGAAGAGAGGCCAGGGACAGAGAAGAGAAGCCACAGGGAGGAGGTCAGGTGAAGAGGGAGGAGAGGGCAACGCAGCACCAGGAGCCCCAGGAGCTGGGAGAGGAGGGAAGGAGCCTCCCCTGTAGCCTCCAGAGGGGCACAGCCCTACCCACACCTTGATTTCTGACTTCTGGCCTCTGGACTGTGCAAGAATCCACTTCTGTAGTTTTAAGCCACGAAGTTTGTGGCCATGTGTTAAGAAAGTCAGAGGACCACATCTTCTTTATCCATTCATCTGTTGAAGGGCATCTCGGCTCTTTCCACAGTTTGGCTATTGTGGACATTGCTGCTATGAACATTGGAGTGCATATGGTCCTTCTTTTCACTACATCTGTGTCTTTGGGGTAAACACCCAGGAGTGCAATTTCTGGGTTATAGGGTAGCTCTATTTTTAATTTTTTGAGGCACCTCCACCCTGTTTTCCAAAGTGGCTGTACCAACTTGCATTCCCACCAACAGTGTAAGAGGGTTCCCCTTTCTCCACAACCTCTCCAACATTTATTGTTTCTCCTGTCCATTTTTGCCATTCTAACTGGTGTAAGGTGGTATCTCAATGTGGTTTTGATTTGAATTTCCCCAATGGCTAATGATGATGAACATTTTTTCATGTGTCTATTAGCCATTTGTATGTCTTCTTCAGAGAAGTGTCTTTTCATATCTTCTGCCCATTTTTTGACTTGATTATTTGCTTTTTGGGTGTTGAGTTTGAGAAGTTCTTTATAGATCTTGGATACCAGTCCTTTATCTGTAGTGTCATTTGCAAAGAAGATGTGGTCCATATATACAACGGAATATTACTCAGCCATCAGAAAGGATGAATACCCAACTTTTACATCAACATGGATGGGACTGGAGGAGATTATGCTAAGTGAGATAAGTCAAGCAGAGAAAGTCAATTATCATATGGTTTCACTTATTTGTGGAACATAAGGAATAGCATGGAGGATATTAGGAGAAGGAAGGGAAAAATGAAGGGGGGGAGAAATCGGAGGGAGAGATGAACCATGAGAGACTATGGACTCTGAGAAACAAACAGGGTTTTAGAGGGGAGGGGGTGGGGGGATGGGTTAGCCCAGTAATGGGTATTAAGGAGGGCACGTACTGCATGGAGCCCTGGGTGTTATATGAAAACAATGGATCGTGGATCACCACATCAAAAACTAATGATGTATTGTATGGTGACTAACACAACATAATAATAATAATAAAAAAAAAGACCAAATTAGGGGAAAAAAAAAAAAAGAAAGTCACAGGAGAAGAATACAAATGCCCTTCCCACTCAGCACACTCGGGGTGATGAATTAAAACGGATTGTGATCTGCACTCTCATCCTTGTGAATCATGCACCTCGAATCCAGACACAGACCGCCACGGCGGACAATACTGGTTAATAGCCCGGGGAGCAGACGAAAGCAGGCTCAAACGCACCAACCCCCCCAGACACACACTGTGTGACCTTCTGACACACAGGCAGGGCCACCTGTCGGACCCAGCCTCTGCCTCTGTAAAGTGGGGACACGGGAGACCGTTTTAGATCCTATCCTGTCCAGTTGTGGAGATTTAGATTTTAGTGCAGATCCTGGCATATTATAAGCTGTGATCAATGTTGGCTGCCACCACTAATCTATGTTAGCTCCCGGTGAACATAGGGCTATCTTATTTAAACAGCAGACCATTAAACACTAATCAAATATAATAGAAGGGGTAATTGGTACCCTCAAAATACTGGGAGGTTTTCAAGCAAAGTCCTTCAGTTCTGGAAAACTCTCTGAGTCACCTTTCTTGGAGAGTAAAAAGTGTGCTCCCCTTCCCCCACTTCCCAGCCCCTGGTGACCATCTCCTGGATCCAGCCCAGGGCCTGCCAGGTGTGTTCCTGAAGCAGCTGCAGAACGTGCCCATGGCTCCCCCTGGTGGCGACCCACCAGGAGCTCCCCGCCTGGACCAAATCCCCTCTGAATGGGGAGAAGCACCGCAGGACTATAGGGAAGAATGCTTAAGGATGCAGAAGACATTGTCCCCACCACTGAAGCCAGTCCAGAAGCAGTAAGAAGTATGTGAAAGTAGTTCATTAATGTAAACCACTCACCTGCTTTCATTAATGCAACAAATACTGAGCCAGGTGCCGTCAATGGGTACCGGGAAACCTCTGTGAACAAAACAGGCCAGAGTCCCTGCCCTCAGAGCTTCCATTCTAGAGGGGGAGGTAGCCAATAAACATAATAAATAAGTCAACACTACAGTAGATTGGAGAGTGATTACTGCCGGCAGAAAAAAATAAAGTGCAGGAATCAGTGGGGGGTGGGGGGGAGGTGCAAGTTAATATGTAGGATCCCCCGCAGCATCCAGGCCACACACTTCTTGCTTTGCACTGGAGCCCAGAAACGGAGCCCCCACCATGCATTACACTAGCTCATCCCACACAAAGCAACAGCATGGCAAGCAAGACAATTCTGGAATCCCAAATACTGCACCTAGAAAAGTGCCAATTCCCCACTTACCCCAGGTAATGAGCAGAGGGCTTA